AATTAGTGGCTAGTCGTGGACTCGACTAGCAAATTGATTCGTGGACTCGAATAAATCTTCCTTTCTTCAACCTTAGATTTAGGTTCGTGGACTCGTTCTTGAATCGAAGGAAACAAATCCGACTCTAGTTGATTGAAGATTGCAACATCGAGGTACTTGAAGCTACAATGGGATTCTTCCAAGTCTTTGAGGATTCGAGACAAAGGGTTTCTCGTGAGGTCTAAGGTACTTTGATCCATCTCTATCTTTACTTTTGAGAGCATTCTTGGGACAATATTCCATCTTTATGTGAACCTTGGACTAGGTTCTTATCAATTTGGTATTCAGAGCCTAGGTTTGTCTCATTATCATTGGAAATTTGCTTTCTGGTTCCCTATGTTTATCTCGTTCTTATCTTACATACTACTTTTTTCGTGTCTTTTTCATTAAAAAAAACCCCAAAAAAATTTTCTTTTGCATTCTTGATTGTGTTCTTGAATCTTGATACATGTTCTCCAGTTTCTTGAAAAACAATCCCGAATGTTTTTTCCCTTTTCCCCGTCCAATATCAACAAGACCTCACACCTCCTAAGCACCATATTACCACATATTCTGTCAAGAAAACAACCCCATCTCACCCTTACCTATATCCAAAGCGCTTTTACGCGCAATCACGTCTCAATCACACCCTGTCCAGATTTCCGCGAGCTGTGACCAGTTTCAAAGAATTACCTATATCTTGGGATCCACTGGTTAGTTTTAACTGAAATTTGGATATGTTGTATATCTCTTCTGGGGCATTCGTTTGATATATTATACACTGTCGAATTCGTTCTGGTTAGTGAGATATTGATTTTCAAAGTCAGGGCATTGTTTCTGTTTTTCTAGGCGATTCTTGAAATTCTTGATTCTGTTTTGAAGGGGTTGTGTGGATCCTCTTGGTCCGAAATTTTTGTTGATATTTACAGTAGTTATTTGGAGGTTACTTATCAAAAAAAAAAGCAAAAAAAAAAAAAAAAAAAAAAAAAAAAGAGAAAGCAAAAGAAGAAGAAGAAGAAGAATAAGGTTGGTAGGAGAATCTTGGAGGGAAAAGGAAGGGGAAAAGTATAAGGTTGGAAGGAGTTCTTGATAGATTCCTATTTAGTTGTGGTATACTTGAACTCCTCTTACGTTCTATTCGTCTCTATCTATTGATATTGATCTTGCATATCTTTCTGCCATACTTCCTTCTTTGGTTTCCTTTTTCTTTCAAATCTTATTTAGTTTCTTTGCTCGTATTGTCCTTTTCCTTTGCTTCTTGGTCTTAATTTTATTACCTACCTCACGATACACCCTTACTCTCAAAGGCATGTGAAGTCTTCCAAGGTACGTTTTCTTGAACTTTGAGGTTGAATCCATATCAACTTGAGTACCGGACTAGAATTTTCCTTTTTGGAAAAAGGCTGCTGAGAGTATCTGCCACCTTGAGCGATACACGAGTGGAGTGTGTGTTTGTAAGAGTGTGTAGTGCACCCCCAGAGCTATATAATCCACCTCTTACCTGCGAGCTGAGAATAGTGAGGGAGCGAGCCAACTTTTTGGTTTCACTAACGTGTCTACTCACACATCTTTTTGTTTAGAATTTTTTTTTTCCTCTACAGATGGATGAACAAGTTCCAAACCCACCCCAGACATTGGAAGAAAAAAATAGATGCTCTAACCTTCGCCATGGACGGGTTACTCACACGAATGACTAATCTGGAGCAACGCTCACAGCAAGTGCAACCACCACACAATGATGAGCGACACCTGCCACCAGCAGGGAGAGTGGATCCTAGATGTCAAATGATCCAACAGCCTAATGAGGAGTTAGGAAACATTAAACTTGAAATTCCTAACTTCTCTGGTGAGAAGGGACCAACAGAGTATATAGAATGGGAGAATGCTGTTGAAACACTTTTTGATTTAAAGCACTATTCTGATGTTACAAAAATTAGGCTAGTTGCTACATCTTTTAAGGGGTATGCAGTATCTTGGTGGAGAAAAAGAAATAGGGAGAGAGTTGCTGATTTTATTCCCTATGAATCTTGGGTTCAAGTAAGGGAAGATATGCGCCTAACCTTTCGCCCTAAATCTTTTTTCTATGATCTTGAAAGAAAATTGCAGGGAACTGTTCAGGGATCAATGTTGGTTGATGACTATCACCGAACAATCAATATTTTGCTTGAGCAAGGGGACATACATGAAGAAGAGGCAAGAACTATTGCTCGTTTCTTACATGGATTGAACAAAGAAATCCGGTGGGGAATGAGTACACAAAGATATGACACCCTTGATGATGCCTTGTATGCTGCACACGAATTTGAAGTAAAAATCAAAGAGATGAAGATGTACAATGTAACACCCCAGATTTTCCGGATATTTAAAACTTATAAAATAAAGGTGAAATCTCGTTGAATCCCAAAACATAGTACAAGAATATGGGGTGATATGTCACACCTGAGCTAGAGAACTCAGGTGCACAGGCTAACTGACTAATATCCTCAAATAGTATCAGTACTAAATCATGGCACGCAGGCCGAAAGGGAAAAATTATCTAAGCTACGTCCAAGCTTCTAGCGCGCTCCAGTGATCTACTCGTCTGTGCCTGAAAGCCAAATATATCTGTTCAGCGAGAGATGCTGGTAACCCACTCCAACGCGTTGAAATACAATACATATAGAGATATATATAGATATACGAAAACCATTTTGAAGCATGAAGATATATCCTACGAGACTCTAGCTTTTAAAACCGGGAATGACTCGACAGATAAGGCTAGACACAAGCAACAATTATAACAAGCGTATAAAATCCACAACAGGCAAGACAGATAAAGCTGAGCACAATTAATAATCATAACCCAACATAAACAATCCCCAGCATAAATCCCATAGTCACATCCCCCAATATACTCATAAACACAACTCATTCATATCTCATCACATAGCACACTTTGTTGGCGCCACAGGACGAATCGCATGCCCATACATGAGGGTCAGCGCATATAGCTCTGACACGGCCCCGCAGCACCCTGCCCCGTCTCACATTACGGAGGAGTCGATCGCAACCGACTAATGAACCGCAGTTCTATATAATATTTATATACCTGACCGGTCTTTACCAGCCTGGTTAACAGTTCGGATGGTTCTCAACCCATTCAACTGCCCGTATAGTGGACCTTTGTCCTATATAATATTTATATACCTGACCGGTCTTTACCAGCCTGGTTAACAGCCGGTATGGTTCTCAGCCCATCCGACTGCCCGTATAGTGGAACTTAGTCCTATATAATACTTATATACCTGACCGGTCTCTACCAGCCTGGTTAACAGCCGGTATGGTTCTCAGCCCACCCGACTGCCCGTATAGCCCGATTGATCTCAACCAAATCGGGGTAACATGCACACATAACACATTGCAAGCACATGCAACCCATATTAACACATTGGGAAGGGGGAGAAAACGTATAACAAAACCTATGCGTGATCCTTCACATACTAAGAATGGTCCTAAGGGGTTCATACTCCTTTCACCTAGGTCAGCGGGATGCCAATTCAACTAGCATGCAATATATAAGACCCATACGACCTACGAACGGTACCCGAAAATCAAACTAGACATAGGCACGATAGACGGAGTCCGTTGGGACACCACGGAGGTCGGGGAAACATCAAATGGGGAAGCCGGGGTCCCAAGTGTGGGAATTTCCAGCGGGTAGCCGGTAACACTGTTCCGGGCAGCGGGTCGCAGGCGGCAGCTGCCCGCCCGCCGGCTGCCCGCTGCCGGAACTGCCCCTTTTTTACCGTGGGTAGGTGGCGGTTCCCCTACCCCCCACTGACTCATTAACACCAAAAACGCCCCGGGAACCTTCGTGGAACCCGAGACCATGCTTAGACACTTTCAAACGTAATTGATAACACACGTAGACGATTTAACGGATCAAAATCAAGAATCAAACGGCACATAACCTATCATGCTTTTCTAGACCTAATAAACACCCAATCATGCGAAATCCCACCCAATATACCAAGAATAATACCATACGAATTCCACAATATAACCTAGGGTTCTAATTATTTTTAATCCAACAAGAATACGATTCATCTTCTAATTACAAGATTCGGTAAGAATAGCACATAAGCATCAAGAACGCCAACAAGAACATCAACCTAGGGTTCTAATTATTTTTATATCAACAATAATACGGTTCGTCTTCTAATTACAAGATTCGGTACAAATAACACTTAAGCATTAAGAACGCCATACAATTATCAAGAACACCATATAATCATCAAGAACTCCACATAATCATTAAGAACACCATAGTTATCAAGAATCTCCCGATGTCAAGATCACCCATGGAATTATCCCATCAATCATCAATAATAACATCACAAATCAGCAATACACAATAATATGGGGAAAACTTACGGGGGAAATCATAACTATGAAAATAGGTTTTGTTGAGACATGGGTTACCTCTTAGCCTTAGTTAATTCCTTGGCTATGAAGGGTCTTTCTTTAAGCTTTCTTGCTTTCTTGATTTCTTCTAAGGGAATTCTTGGAGCTCTTTGGGTGGTGAGACGTTATTGTGGTGGGGGGGTTCTAGGTGCCTCTTAAGTCCCCTATTTATATATTTAGGAGTCCTAGTTAGGAACTAATATTATAGGCTTGCTAATTCTATTCCTTTTGGGACTAAGGATTGGGTTTAGGGATAAGGGCCCGTGGACTATGGTTGGCCTTTCCTAATTAATTATTGTGATTTAACTCTTTCTTTTGGGTAATTGATTAAATGATTTAATTGATTTTAGGGATCGTAACACGGGGTGTTACATACAAGCCCAACAATGGTGCATCAAGATGGAACAACACTCATTCTACCCCTCAAAGGCGTGATGAACGCCCTCTTCCAAGAGATGATTCACGAGACAAAGGTAAGGAAAAGGTAAGTGAGGCAGTGAGGCCTCAACGTGATAGAGAATTGATTTGTTATAGATGTAATGGAAGAGGTCATATGGCTCGTGATTGTCCTAACAAGAGGGTAGTTAAGATAACAAAACAATGTGAAAAGTTTGCCTCTTGTCTTGAATATGAGTCTGAGGATGAGGTTACTGACCTTTTGGAAACCCCCAATGAGCATGTTGAGGAGGAACCACCTTTACCTTTAGATTTTGATTATGAATATGCTGATAGTGAGTCTGTTCATACTCTTGTTGTTAAGAAGGTTTTGAATGTTCATCCTTTAAAAGAAGATGAGTGTCAAAGAGAAAATATATTTTATGCTAAAGGGTCAATTAGAGGGAATGCTTGTACTGTGATAATAGATTCTGGAAGTTGCACAAATGTGGCTAGTGCAGCTATGGTTAAATTTCTTCAAATTACCTTTGCTTGATCCCCCAAATCCATATCGTTTGCAATGGTTAACCGATGCAGGAGAAGTTAGAGTAACAAAGCAGGCTCTTATTCCTTTATCTATTAACAGTTACTCTGATGAAATTTTGTGTGATATTGTCCCAATGCAGTATGCTCATGTGCTGTTAGGTAGACCGTGGTAATTTGATAGAAAAATCACTTTTGATGGAATGATGAACACTTATGTGTTTCACATGGATGGAGTTAGATATGTCTTGTCTCCTTTGACTCCTAAACAGGTGGAAGAAATACTATTGAAATCAAGGAAGGCATCAAAAGAGGCGAAATCAATGCCATATTCCCCCTATCCAAAATCAAAGCCTCCACCTCCTCCAATATCCCTTTCCATGCCATTTTCATCTCAAAACCTAGCAAAGGAATCACCACATCATCCCTCTCTTCTTGCAACAAAAAAAATGACATTAAGAAGGCAATAAGAAGGGGAGACACGTTTAACTTACTTGTCATTCATAAGCTTACCACTGATCTTGATTCTTCTCTTGTGTTACACTCTGAATCTTGTTTTCGTAATGCCTCTATTAATGAATTGCTTGCTGATTTTTCAGATTTATTCCCTAAAGAGATGCCAAAAGGATTGCCACCACTTAGAGGGATTAAGCATCAAATCGACTTTGTCCCTGGATCTACCTTGCCAAACCGACCAGCCTACAAAACCAATCCCGTGGAAGCAAAGGAAATCCAGAAACAGGTTGAAGAGCTTCTTGAAATTGGACATATCGAGAAAGCTTGAGTCCGTGTGCCGTTCCAGTGCTCATTGTCCCAAAAAAAGACTGTACATGGAGAATGTGTGTTGATTGTCGTGCAATCAACAATATAACTATTAAGTATAGATTTCCTATTCCTCGACTTGATGATATGCTTGATGAACTTTATGGAGCTGAGTACTTTAGCAAGGTGGATTTGAAACGAGGATATCATCAAATCAGGATGAAAGAAGGTGATGAGTGGAAAACAGCCTTTAAAATTCGGTGTGGAATGAGTATTCAGAGATATGACACCCATTATGATGCCCTGTATGCTGCACGTGAATCTGAGGCAAAAATCAAAGAGATGAAAATGTACAAGTCCAAAAATGGTGCATCAAGATGGAACAACACTTGTTCCACCCCTCAAAGGCGTGATGAACATCCTCCTCCAAGAGATGATTCACAAGACAAAGGTAAGGAAAAGGTAAGTGAGGCAGTAAGGCCTCAACATGATAGAGAATTGATTTGTTATAGATGTAATGGGAGAGGCCACATAGCTCGTGATTGCCCTAACAAGAGGGTAGTTAAGATAACAACACAATCTGAAAATTTTACTTCTTGTCTTGAATATAAATCTGAGGATGAGGTTTGTGACCATTTTGAAACCCCCAATGAACATGTTGAGAGAGAACCATCCATACCTTTAGATTCTGATTCTAAATATGTTGATAGTGAGTCTAGTCATATTGTTGTTGTTAAGGAGGTTTTGAATGTTCACCCTTTAAAAGAAGATCAGTCTCAAAGAGAAAATATATTTTGTGCTAAAGGGTCAATTAGAGAGAATGTGTGTGCTATGGTAATAGATTCTAGAAGTTGCACAAATGTGGCTAGTGCAACTATGGCTAAATTTCATCAGTTACCTTTGCTTAATCATCTAAATCCTTATTGTTTGCAATGGTTAACTGATGTAGGAGAAGCTAAAGTAACCAAACAGGCTCTTATTCCTTTATCTATTAACAGTTACTCTAATGAAATCTTGTGTGATAATATCCCAATGCAGGATGCTCATATCTTGTTAGGTAGACCATGGCAATTTGACAGAAAAATAAGTTATGATGGAATGAGGAACACTTATGTGTTTCACATGAATGGAGTTACATATGTCTTGCCACGTTTGTATCTTAAACAAGTAGAAGAAATTCAATTGACATTGATGCAAGCTCTCAAACCAGCATCAAAGGAAGAAATCAAAGAGAGAAAAGTGGAACCTCCATGTTTGGAATTGCAATCACCACTCCAATCTTCTATTTCGGTTTGTAGCCAAACAAAGGGACCACAATCAGTGATACAGTGGAAAGGACCAGCCCAAGGTGTCAAAGTGCAACCTCTCTTGGTAACTACAAAGGATATTAAGCAAGAGAAAAGAAGGGGAGTATCTATTTACTCATTTTTATTTCAAAAGCATGCATTAAAATTCTCTAGATTTGTTTGTCATGTTTCTATTAATGAGCTCCTTGCTAGATGTGTTAGAAATTTGTTTGCGCCCATACATCCGAGATTCCTTAATTTTGATTTTACTAAAACTTTATTTGATAGAGATAAGGAATCACTGGGAAGTTATAAGGCACATTTGAAAACTTCTTATGTGAAATACTACTTGCTCAAGGGGTTTTCGTTCAAAGTCAATGGGATTGGCACTTTTTGCTTGGATTTGAGCAATGATTTAATTATTGATTCACATAAGGGACAATTTGATTTTCCAAAGAGTGATGATGTTTTGCATGGATATTTTCATTGGCCAAAGAAGAAAAAAGATGTAGAATCTTATGTTCATAATTGTGCTACTTACCACCACAATGCATCTATATCATTACTTGATATTTCCATGAATTTTCTGTTTGATTTTACCTTAAACTCTAGGAGGAAAGATTTTGTGCTTGTTGACAATTCAAACAAGATGCATAAATTTAATATGTCTGATTTTGTTGAATTATTACCATCCAGAATGTTTAAATTCCTTGATGTGTCATTAGACTTAATTGCCTTACTTGTTGATTGTAGGATGATAAATGGAGCGACTCGTGTCAAACATCCCAAGAAAAAGTTCCATGAGCGTGATAAAACAGAAAGTGAGCTTGCTACTTTGTCTTTCACTGAAGATTTGGATTCGAGGACGAATCCTTCTCAAGAATGGGAGAATAATAGGAACCAGTACACATGGAATCCAATAAGGGTAAATAGTGGGCTCATCACAAGGCCCATAACTACGACCTTAAAACATCATTCGTGGAAGAAACAACAAAGACCAATAATAAGTCCATTCGATAGAGGAAAATATTATAGTGGCCAATTTCAAGTGATATCATGGATCGAAGACAATGCTTACAAGATTCGAGGTCGAATCATTTTCAAGAAGGGGAGGATGATGCAGCCCAGCATATGAAGATCCATTAAGAGTACTAATTGGGCCAATCACAAGGCTCAAGTCCAAACAATTAAGGCAACTCTTCATTGGTGATGTTCAAAGATGGTGGAAATCCAAGTCAAGCCCATTTGCAAAATATGAAGAAGAACTCAAGGCTTTTTATAATTGTTTTAGTGCTGATTTTGGTGATTAAATTAGGCCCAAATCAGCCCTATTATTTTTGGTCATCATTAATTTAAATTGTTTGGCATAAAAGAGAAAACACTAGTTGTATTTAGAAAGGATTCCTTAAATCCCTTTCTAAATAAAACTCTATTTACTTGTTTTCTAGATTAGGTTTAGGACTCTTTTTCCCATTGTATTTAGATTACAATGCTGCCCTACACCTATAAATAGGGCACATCCATATCAGTTTTACACAGGCTTTAATTCAATAAAATTCTTAAGTTTTTCTTTACACTTGTGTAAGAAACCTTATGGCTAATTGTGGACACAATTAGTGGTTAGTCGTGGACTCGACTAGCAAATTGATTCGTGGACTCGAATCAATCTTACTTTCTTCAGCCCTAGATTTAGGTTCGTGGACTCGTTCTTGAATCGAAGGAAACTAGATCCGACTCTAGTTGATTGAAGATTGCAACATCGAGGTACTTGAAGCTACATGGGATTCTTCAAAGTCTTTGAGGATTCGGGACTAAGGGTTTCTCGTGAGGTTTAAGGTATTTTGATCCATCTCTATCTTTGCATTGAGAGTAATCTTGGGACAATATTCCATCTTTATTTGAACCTTGGACTAGGTTCATATCAATGAGGCTTATGAACCATGTTTTGAGGAAATTTATTGGTAATTTTGTTGTTGTTTACTTTGATGATATTCTGATTTATAGAAAGTCACAAGAAAAACACTTGAAACACCTTCGATTAGTTTTTCTTGAACTTAGGGCTGCACAGTTGTATGTCAATCTTGAGAAGTGTTCTTTTATGTCTGAGAGTGTTGAGTTTTTAGGATTTCATGTTAGTATAGAAGGCGTGACCATGGATTCAAAAAAGGTTGAAGCTATCACAAGTTGGCCAACGCCAACTAATGTATCTAACTTGCGTAGTTTTCTTGGACTGGCAGGTTTCTACAGAAAGTTTGTTCGTGATTTCAGCTCTATAGAAGCCCCTATGCATGAGTTGATTAAGAAAGACACTATAACACCCCAGATTTTCAAGATATTTAAAACTTATAAAATAAAGGTGAAATCTCATTAAATCCCACAACGTAATACAAGAGTACGGGGTGCTATGCCACACCTGAGCTAGAGAACTCAGGTGCACAGTCTAACTAACTAACTTCCTCAATAATGTAAATGCATAAACATGGCACGTAGGCCGAAAGGGAAACTATCTATTTCTACGTTCAAAGTTCTAGCGCGCTCCAGTGACTTATTCTTCTGTGCCTGAAAGCCAAATATATCTGTTCAGCGAGAGATGCTGGTAACCCACTCCAACGCGTTAAAATACAATACATATATATATATATATATATATATATATATATATATATACATATATATATATATATATATATACATATATATATATATATATATATATACATAGATATACGAAAAGTAATTTCGAAGCATGAAGATATATCCTAAGAGACTCTAGCTTTCAAATCAGGGAACCGACTCGACAAATAGGGGTACACACAGTCTACAGTCATAACCAAGCATACTGCCCGTATAGTGGACCTTAGTCCTATATAATATTTATATACCTGACCGGTCTCTACCAGCCTGGTTAACAGCCGGTATGGTTCTCAGCCCACCCGACTGCCCGTATAGCCCGATTGATCTCAACCAAATCGGGGTAACATGCACACATAACATATAGCAAGCACATGCAACCCACATTAACACGTTGGGAAGGGGGAGAAAGCATATAACAAAACCTATGCGTGATCCTTCACATACTAAGAATATTCCTAAGGGGTTCATTCTTCTTTCACCTAGGTCAACGGGGTACCAATTCAACTAGCATGCAATATATAAGACTCATACGACCTACGAACGGTACCCGAAAATCAAACTAGACATAGGCACGATAGACGGAGTCCATAGGGACACCACGGGGGTCGGGGGGGGACCTCAAACGAGGAAGCCGGGATCCCGAAGTGGGGTACAAACCAGCGGGTAGCCGGTGGGTGAGGGGTCACCCGCCGGCGTTCTACTATTCCGGGCAGCGGGTGCTTGGCGGGCAGCTGCCCGCTGCCGGCGTTGCCCGACTAGGCCGCGGGTAGGTGGCGGGTCCCCTACCCCCACCTACCCCCCACTGACTCTATTCACCAAAAACACCCCGGGAACCTTTGTGGAACCCGAAACCATGCTTAGACACTTTTAAACACAATTGATAACACACGTAGACAATTAACAGATCAAAATCAAGAAACGAATGGCACATAACCTATCATGCTTTCTAGACATAATCAACACCCAATCATGCGAATTCCCACCCAATATACCAAGAATAATACCATACGGATTCCACGATATAACCTAGGGTTCTAATTATTTAAATCAACAAGAACACAATTCATCTTCAAAAATCAAGATTCGGTAGAAATATCATATG